TTCTATATACTTTTTCAGCTCCTGGAATCTGTATTCTCTGGAGTGATGGAGCTGAGTTGTAGTGCTATTTGTTATCCAGATCTAATCATTCAACATCACTATCTGACATGTCAAATGCACTTGTGGCTGAACGCAATCAAATCCTCACAGCAATGTTCCAACATCTAGTGTAAAGCCTTCCCGGAAGAGTAGAGGCTGCTACTGCAGCAAAGGGGAACAAACTGTGTATTAAAGGGCTGATATCCTACATTTTTCTTGTATTTTGTTTTTTCCCCTTGAAGTCCATTTGTAACATTTGTTTGGGTTTATTTGCTAAAAAAGGACATAATTCACTTTTACATGACCATTTTCCAACCTGTTTTTCCCTTAGAATTAAACAGGCTGTTTTTAAACAGGCCTCGTTTAAAAAAGCACCTCAGCATGAATGGGTGGAGCTAAACTACTGTAGGCTGAACAGCTGTTTTTGCGGCATAGTTTTTATACTTGGACCTTATGGACTGCATAGTGAATGGCATGTTTTGAAGCAGTGTTTTTGCATATTACTACAATTTATTTGGTTTTCCATGATATGGGCCCTTTAATACCCTTGACTGCAGAGGATACGTTGGATGAGCATGTGTCTACAAACTTTTCGATAAATAACGTATTTTGATGATAAAATAAGCTTTCTGCATTTCATGGCACCCTGTCCATAACTCTGAGGCTTCTGTCTGTCATGTTTAATGCCTGGTTTAGACACTGGAAATTATAAATGTCATACATTGAGCAAGACATGAACTTTGCGCATGCTGCTTTATTAATGTTTCATGAAGATACCATACATTCTTCACACAGTACCATCTGTGAATTTGTATACATACTGTAGCTGCAATCAGTGCCAAATGCTGACTTCAGAGAGCAGCTGAGGTTAGATCCTTCACTCTGGGACCAGAAGAGAGCCCCGTGTCTCTTGTCAGCAGTTTAAAATAAGTCAATTGATCTGTATCGACTGATGACTAATTCATGTGCCTTTCACCAGGCAGCCTTGTCTTGTAGTATGAGTTGTAGAAGTCTGAGTTTAGTTCATTCAACTACAGTAGTAAGCCTAGTGGTAAGTTTATGTAAAATGTATGAAAAACAGAAGATAACTCTTTAAGTGGTAATGTGATAATGCATACTCTGAAGATCATCACCTGAATCTCCTGGCTGCCCACTTAAGTAGTCTTATCAATGTCATCAGTCTGCGCTGGCATGGTGAGGATGCTTTAGTGAGGGTGCTTCTCATTAGCCTGACTTCATTCATTTGATTAGGAGCTTCTCAGTGTATCCTCCCATTGGAATGATAAGGTTCTGTGTTGTGAGCTGTTTTGAGACATTGAGCTTCAAAGATTTTGCATTCCAAATAGCAGACACCCTGAATTTATTCTAAATATACAAAATCAAAATCCTATCAAATTTGTAAATGTATGTTTTTCGCACAAGTCAAATGCAGACAGAACCTTCTAATCCTAAGAACTCACTTTCTGCTTGGAATTAGAAAGTTCTATCTGGCAAAACATGAAAAGAAGCAATTACTTTAAAAGAACACAAACAGTTTACTAGTATTTGTTTTAAAACATAAAATTAAAATGTTGTAACAGAGTATCTACCTTTATCAGAAAATTGAATTGAATGCTTTCTATGACATTGTTTTAGGACAAATAAATTTTTTCTTCAAAAAAGCACTGCAGATTAAGAATAAAGGTCAGTGCTAATATTTTGTCCAGTGCAGAGGTCAATTTTAGGTAGAAACGGTTTGGTTTAAGTTTCCTTTAGTTTGGACAGCAATCAGCTAATGTAATAAACTGTCTCAGCAAACAAGTGTAGCAGGTCAGTATAAAGGCAGTATGTTTTGTTTTATATCAGGAATGTGGCTCTAATACACCAAAATGTCTTATTTTGGTAGAAAGAAGAAAAAAGAAGAGATGAAAGAACAAATTAAATTAATGTTTATGTTGTAATTAAGACCCTGTCAATTCAAATGTATACAATTTAATTGCCTTTAAGGCTTAAAATTGATAACATTTAAGACAATAAAAGTTTTTAAGAACTCCAAGAAGACAGGCAGTGTTTCAGCAATGCAGTCACTGAGCAGTGCGGTGACATGAGAAAGAAACAGAACCTGTTTGGTCCTCTTGTGTGTATTCAAAGTGCTGATTGACTTGCAGACAAAACCTTACAGGACTGAGTTTGATTTTGGAGATGGAACTTTGTTGTTTTCTGAATAAAGGGTCCAAAAATGCACACAACTTAAAAACACCTCACATAATGTTAAGACATTGTCACAGAATAAGAATGTGTGACTCAATTTTGACAAAAATGTCAGATAGAACCTTATTCCATGTGTACCATTGTGATTTATAGCTGAATGCTAGGAGCACCACTATGTCTATCACTGTCTCTTTAAGCATTTAAATATTCCTGATAGGGCTCTTAGGAGAATTCCAGAACCACTGAGGTATGTTCAATTGAGTCTTAAATTAAAGACTAATACATTTATTAAACAATCAAAATGCTGTTTGTATAGTGTGATTTGTGCTTCTGGCGTACAAAGAAATGACCCACTCATGATATGTAAATGCATATAATTTTGAAATTCCACAAGATATGGGTATGGAAGATTTATGTAATAACACAATGGTTGTCTAAAACAGTACATTGCTTATATTACTGAGAACATTTCTCATTAACCTCTCTCACTAATTATATCACATTGTCATTACAAGCTAAAACAGAGGAGACTGCATAAATGAATAATGAATATGCACCATGTGCCCAGTCATGCATTTTTTGTGCATGCACTAAGTTGCACCAAAATGAGTCTCTGTTGGTGTGCAGCATCACTTACTAAAGCAGATAGCCTAACAGCTAACTTTACTACCTTCCGTTAGAGCGGAATATTGTTTGTTGTTGTGTTTAAATGTTACATATAAATGATTAGATATCATGAGATCATGGTAAACCCCCATTCCTTCTTTACCTAGTTCTTTGTATGAAATCTGAACTTCTATGTGGTGCTAGCATTGTGCACAAGCTAAAGCCTCTTGACGTCAGTCCCCTCGCTTGTCAAATTAAATCCCACCCCTGATGCATTTTTGTAAAGGAAAATGTTTCCATCATGCTGAATATTTTAAAACTCCACCAGTTTTCTCAATACTAGTACTGTAAATAAAAATGAACACATCCAGTTAGAACTCATTTACTCTAATAATGAAAAGGAGAAAGAACTTGCCTTTTTCACACAGGTTTAGCCAAGAACCCCTTGAAACCCCTGTGCTTAGCTATTAATAACAAGAACTGAGGTCTTGAAATTAAGGGGCTATTTTGTCATAGCTGGTGAGATTGCCAGTAAAGGAGAGATTATGCAAAGACCACTAACCAGCTGGCGATGAGAAAGGGCACTAACCATTCCCCGACTGCTCTGCACTGAACACCATTTAAGGGCATCTATTGCTAGAATGGACACTTAACAGCCAATATAAACGTTACCACTCCTTGGCCAAAATCCTATCTCGAAAAGTTTGCATGCTACACTTTGTATGTCAGTTTAATGCCTCTTTGAACACAGACCAGACTTTCCCTTTTATAATACTGAATTAGGTTATGAACACGCTATCACTTATACAGTGACACAGAAGCATTTACAGAGCAGAAGACAACATGTCCTTAGATTACCCAGGCATAGCAGAGGCAAGAAATCTCTTGGGCATGTGTGCGGAGAGTGACCCGGTATTTATACAGACTTTATGGCCAAAGGAAAGAAGGACGATGCGTTTATGTTTAACAGTCCTAGTGTAAGGGAAAAATGTCTAGAATTACCAGTGGGTATTTCTATGTTTCACATAACAAAATGTGAGATATAATAATATGGGCAACTCTTTTAGTTGGATCACTCGTCATAGGGGTAAAGTGCCTATATTTTCCCCCTGGACTCAAGAGTACTAAACTTTGCTGTTTTATGATAAATATACATCATTTTTTCCTGTTGGTTTTTGAGCCTTTTCTCTCAAGCTGTAATACCACACGATTAGGCAGTGTCAGACCTTTAAGTCATCAGTTTCTTTACAGACAAAAACCTCAGCAAAAAGGAATGTAAGATGTTATTTTATGGTGGATACGGTTACAGCACAGTCTATAATTAAAAGATCTCTGTTGCTGATTAGGCACTGCTTATGTATCAACAATGATTATTCTGTACATAAACAATGTGATTTTTTTTATTTTATAGTCGTTTTACACAACTTGGTCTGTTTGTGAACACTTATTTTAGTCCTGGGAAGAGGTCTATTTTTTTTTAACAATGTGAAGTTAAGTATTATAAACAAATACTGAATACAAATTACAGTATTTTACGGTCTTAAAGATGTGATAGAATTGGGCCTATTTGTGGACACTTATTTTAGTCCTACAGCATTTTTCAGCTCCAATTTACAAGCACAAATTACTGAAGCTGAACATTTCTGTATATGTTCTAGTTTAGCCAAGGGTTCATTTTCAGCTGCAGTTCCTATAGCAGTACAAAATCACAGAATCACCAAAACCCATTAAACCTATCTGGCAAAATAATTTACAGACTTTGTTCACATTCTTGTTTTTATTTATTTTTTATTTTATTTTTTTAGTCTTTAATTTTTTTAGTAATTTAAATTAGCTGAAAAGGAGCAAAAAAAAACCCCGCAGTCTTCAACAAATGTATTTTACCAATTGAACTCTGTTTTTACAATAACAAAAAAGTCATACAAAGAGGCCCGTTGAATTCAACAACTTTATCTTTCCAAACTGAATTCTGTGGTGAAAATAAAGAGATACAGAATGCAAATTAAAATGCGTTATTTCTACTTCAGAGTCTCCTGTATCTTACCCGTAATCATGACTCGGCTGGCTTGTGTGAACTCTCGCGATAGTTGGCGTTATTTTCCCTCCGCCCCCCTCCTCTCTCCTCCCTCTCTCCTCCCTCCCCTTCTCTCTTTCCGTCTCTCGCTCTCTCTCAGCCTTTCTCTCTGGAACACATGAAATTCGGAGGCTCTCCTCCCCAAACACGAGCACAGCAGTCATCGAAGCGGCCGGAGAACCCCCCTCCCCACACAACATGGCTACAATCGCAACCTCGACCAGGTTTACCGACGAATACCAGCTTTACGAGGAGCTCGGGAAGTAAGTCACTTCGGCGCCTTCCGCGCAACTTCGCTCCCTTTTCCTTTAATCCCATTGTTTGTATTTGGACGCTGACAGGAGCGAAATGACTCGCGAGCTGCCCCTGAAGCTCGGTGGGGCTTTGCGGAGCGTAGCAGACCCGAGGATGTATCTGTTCCGTATTTGTGTTTGCTTGTGGAGCTAGCGCGGTGAAACACTTCAGCATATGCTCAGTATTCACTGTTTACGCCTTTCACTTGAAGGAAGGGCTCGTCAGACGGGAAGCCGTTTTCCTTCGGCTGCTACTTGTTTCATATACATTTTCTATCACGTTGCCCGATTAACGGCTCCGTTCTGTTTTCACAGCGCAGAGCCTTCGTGGTGTTACTGTTGTCGGAGGCGATTTGTTTGGTTCTGCAGCAGTTTAGCGATGATAATAACAAAAAAGCCTCAAACTGTAGGCTAGTAACAGTTAGCTAGCTTGTGAAACATCAAATACATCGCAGGTAGTAGGATAGGAACGCATACAAATACACAATGAATCACTTCTCTGTGTGTCTTTTTGAGGTTTCTTTTCATAAGGTGGGGTTTAAGAAGCTGTGTAAGCGAATGGTGACGTCTTTTCTGAGAATTACATCTCACTTTTTAGAAGAGCAGATGTTGATATCTGTGCGTGCTTAGAGCTTCGTTCCTGCCGTCGATTTTACATGGACTTCACTGACGTTGCAAATGAACCGTTTGCATTTGGTCATAAAAAATAAAATCACAGTGAAATACAGTGCCCTGCGTGGCTCTTTGTGTAGTGGGTAGCATACTCTGTTTGGCATGCATTTGTAATGGGTCCTCCACGTCAGAGGTGACTGGCAGCCTCTCCGCGTTCCCACTTGTCAGTTGCATTGCATCCTTATCTGTTTTTTTCCAGGGAAACTCAGCCTCCAGTGTATATGACCCACAGCACGTTATCTTGTTTCTTGTTTAGGGGTGCCTTCTCCGTGGTGCGCAGATGCGTGAAGAAATCCACAGGCCAGGAATATGCTGCTAAAATTATCAACACAAAGAAACTATCAGCAAGAGGTAAGGCTGTGCTGTGGCACGTTTATAGCCTGTATGGATCAACTCAAGTGACATCACCTGCTCAGTTGCACTGCACCGAGATAAACCTGCTCTGCATTTTATTACTATGTACATTGGGGGAGGAGGAGGCAGAAGATCTGGTGTGTTTGCTGTCTCCTGGGATTACATGTCGTTAATAGAAGAGAGTGCTCTTTAGAATGGGGCAGCTGACTCTCCTCTGCAACTCCTGGTGTCTGCAGGCCTTCCAGCTGTGCCCTGGCATGTTTTTTTACAGGGATGCTGAGGTGAAAAGTCCTCGCTGGTCGTGTGTTAGTATTTAGAGCAGCAAATGAAATGCACAGTGAATCGGCACTGATATTAATGAGTGCAGTAGTGATGTTTGGTTTGTTTTAGGGTTTTAAGGGAACTGAGTATGTGTTGTCAAAGTGAGTTAATATATTATAATGTGGTATTTTTTTAAGCATGCTTTGAATGTCCACATGTACTGTTTTTGGGTTTTCCTTTCAGAAATATTCTGCATTTGATCATATTGCTTAAAAGGAGATAGAAAAGGAAAGCTGATGTCACTAAAATTCACTAATTTCACTATTAAGTGGGTGACTTTTCAATATGATTTTAAGGACCCATATCCTACACTTTTCTTGAATTTTATCCCCCCTCCACACCATCACTCTGGGCCTATTATGATGTTTGTGTGGTCTTATGTGCCGAAACAGCCATCATTTATTTTTCACATGATCGTTTTCCAACATAGAATTAAACAGGCTGTTTTTGTAACTGTGCCTTGAAGACTGGTATATGTAAATGATATTTGGCTGCCCTTTATTGTGCCTCATTCGAAAAACAGGTCAGGCTAAAGTACTTCTTATAACTTCAGTGTTGGACTAAACTGCTATAGGCTGATTAGGAGGTAAACGTAGTGTTTTTGTGACCTCACAAAAACAGCGAATTCAGTATAGACTGTTTTCACAACTTTGTTTCTGTATATGGACTGTGTGGAATGGGGAGTGAACGGTATGTTTTGACACTAGCAATGTTTACAGAAAAGCAAAGAGAATTTTCATAATATGGACCCATAAGGTATGCTTCAGGCCTTTACAACCATATAGTTACTGTTGTAAGTTGCGTTTAGTGGTCTGTGCTCTACCCTCTTCAGTTTTTGTTCAAGTATAGTTTATTTCCCTGTTTGCTTGAAAATTTGGCAGTATAGTGAAGATGTTACCTTACATCAAGAATACATTATAAAGCACTCAGCAATATGAGAATCTTCAGCCGTTGTGGCTGTTTAGAGGCCTCTTTGGTTATTATGTAAAATTTTATATAGTGATTAATTACAACCACATCAAATACTGATCTTCATTCACCACTAAATGAGTGATCAAACTGCTGTAGACATAAATCATATTCAATCATCCAATTATTTTTAATGAAATATGAAAGTCTTATGCCATTCTGACTTGTTGTATCGTGGCCTGTCAAATGAGACCTAATTGCTCCTGCCTAAGCATTTTTGAGTATATCCATTAGTCATTATGCCTGTGTGTAAGAAAGGGCTTGTTTCTTAAATACAGTCTTTTACTCTCCCTCATTGTGTAGAACAGGCATTTTTCATTCAGTTAATGGCACAAGTAGTTCTCTGTACAGAATGTAAGGGCCTCATTTGGGACTCGGCCTCTGTCTTTGAGGAGATGCTTTTCTTCAGCAGCCAGCCCAATTAAGGGCTGCTAGAGTGGACTATGCTGCAGCCGTCCTGTTAGCTGAGCAAGGGGTATGACCAAAAGCTCAGGCCAGTCATATGGGGAAACTGCATGGCTGCCCAGGACCATTCAGACCTATCTGCTTGGTTTAACCCTTGATTCAATCTGTCCAGTGCCTGTCTGGTATGGTTTAGCTGGCCTTTTCCTGCTGCAAACCCACTTTCCCTGATGTCTGTGCGGTTAGGGCGTACGTGGAGAGTAGATCAATGCTCTGAATACCCCCACCTCAAACGGTGATTTGTGCCATGCCTTTTTTCCTCTTTCTCTCCTATTTTTTGCCAGTCTTCACAGACATTGAAAAGGTTGAACTGAAAAGCATCTCAGATGTAGTGTGTAACTATAATGGCCCAGTGATTGGAGGCTTTGACCCAGAGCTTGTTGCAGTAGCTAGGCAACCATTTTCCTGGCGCTGTTGCTGATTGGCTGGTGCAGATGAGGAGGACAAGACTAGTTGAGCTGGTGGCAGATAGCTGGAGTCCAGAGGAAATGTGGGAGCAAGGGAGACAAAGGGAACTAACTAATGAACGAACAAATGAAAGAGAGAAGACTCTCATGAACAAAATCTCCCCTAATCCCTCCTTCCGTGCCTGGCGCCCTGACGTGAACTGTGGGGCTGAACAGGAGCCACACGTGAGATGGGTAGAGGCTTAGCATCACCAAGCCTTACTCTCTACACTTACAACTTGGAATTGACCCATACTCAGAAGTACAGGGACCTGCTGGCTTATATTTCTTGGTGAAGCTTTGCTCCAGTAAATGTGAATGCCTATGGTGTTTACAGATGTGAATTTCCATTTGATTGTGGCTCTGCCCCCATTGTGTGTTGGCCTGGATGTGGGGATGGCTTCCTGTGTCTTTATTGTTATATTCTCTCGTAATAGAGCCGGCTGTCTGTGCAGCCCCCTCCGCCCAATTCATTATCTTTGCTGGCGGAGGGGTGGAGATGGTTGGCTGTAGAGTGGGCCGTTAGGTCTGTCAGGTGCATGGTCCCCTACAGTGAGTTAAATGCTATCTAAATGACCCTTGCAGGCTCCGCTCACACTTCAAAGACGGTTTAATAGTGTATGAATGGCAGAGTGACTCACGTTGTTGGTTGTTTCCTGAGACTTAACAAAAAGCTTTATGTTGACTGCCCCTGCTTTGTCCATTACCTTACTACCAATGCTATTAATTGTGTGTCAGTGTTTACCATGTTTCTTTGGTGTAATTGTCTGTGAAAGACTGTTTCCCTGTCTTTGTTGTGCTCTCTCATCTATGTATCCATCTCGTCCTCTCTCTTTATTTGCGTGGGGGATTGCTTTGTATTGAGGTTAATCCACTTATTTAATTGTATCTGGCTAAGACCCAGGGGGATCCCATTGCAGACTCTCTTGTTTTGCACTTGTTTCTTCATCCATGCATGTTTTATCCTCCAAGACACATAAATTATTTAGTTGGAACTTTATGTCCTGTATGTTGGTTATTGCGTAAGACAGAAGTGGGTTAAAGGGGCTGTCAGGCTCCTGTGTAGCGTACTCTGAGTAGAGCATCACTGAGAATGACACGGGCCCTATAGCGGCACTGAGCTTGAGGTGCTTGAGCAGCTAGCTATCATGCGTTGGTCATCTTCCACCAGCCTAATCGAGGTATTTTGGCCGAGTATTACAACCATTAAGATGGCAGTCAGTGGTGAGCCTGCATGAAGGTGGAGTTTTAGGGAACTTGAATAAATCTCTCTATGCATGGGTCTATTTGCTTTAGAAAAAATGGTTTGCCATGCAGGCCCATGTGAAGAGTTGGCCTGCCCTGAGTGAGTCAGCCTGCCCTACAGCATTCCCCTCTGCATCACAGTGATCTGACCAGAAGCATCCAAACCCATTTTGACATCGGGGCCCATTAAGATCACTGTCACTTATCCTGTATGCATCTCACCCTGGCTGTACATTTTCTCAGACTCCTTCATTAGGTTAGTCTTTTGCTGCAGCCTTGCTGCTTTCACTGTGCTCTGGGAGTGCTGCTATTTTCACTGGGCTAAGCCAATTTATGTAATATAGAGGTAGGTTGTTATGGAAGCTGATGCAGACATTTTTGTTAGCAAGAGAGCCATTCAAGAGATTAGATGTATATTATTCCATTATACAGCAAGCTTCTGAATGTTCTATCTTTCTAAGTTACTTCACCCTATGGACAGGCGATATGAACTCATTATCAGAACATTTTCCAATAACAATATGATTTCATTAGGCCTGTTGCAATTATTGCATAGTTGCTTAATCGCAATTTTTTTGAGATTTGAATTTTTTTGAGATGACTGCCATTTTTTAAGCTGGCTGCGATCATTTTCTACAGTAGATTTCACAATAACATTAAGCTACAACAAACAAAATGTGAATTGAGTGTGCTGGGCTGATGCAAATAAATGTAAATAAAAGAAAACAGTAAATGCATTCATTGAGACACGCCATGGGAACAACAAAAGATGTTCTGACTTCTAACTTGGTGTTCAAACATGTTTAAAGAACAGATAATATTTTAGCTAATGTAGCTGATTCTGTTGTTTTTAGCATGTGTGCTAGCAAAATGAGATTTTTTCACTCTTATTGGAGAAAAAATAAGCTTTGCTGGACTGCACATGATTCTGTGTAACTGAGACATTTGTGAGACAGAGTGTAGTGTACCAATTCGACAGTACTTACAGTGTTAGACATTTAATAAACGTAGCTAGGAAGCAAGGTGGCTAATAAAGCAGTTTTTCCACTTTTGGCTTATACTATATCATATGCATATAATGAAAAAGAAAAGACAACAAATCATTAATCATATTTATTCGTATGTCAGTCATGAGTTGCGATTTCATGCTTGTGACAGCCCTATATTACATGATATACAAAAAAGTATTATAATTATTCAGGTTTGTGTTTAGCTTGTGTTGTGGGCAGGACTGTTTGTAATTTACCTTTCATTGGGCTTATCACGGTATCCATGCGGTGGTAATCTGTATCATGGGACAGTGACATTCAGGCATTCACTTGTATTTAACCACTTTCTCTTTATCAGTTCCATACAAACTATGTGATCGGGCTGTGGAGCACTTGGTAGGAAACTATCCAGATATCTTGGATCTCCAGCCCAGTTGGTCAGTACCCTATTATGTTATTCAATGTATGTATCAGACAGCCCTTATCCACAGTATGTTCTGGGACAGCTGGCTGCTTTTGTTCCCCATCATTCTCAGTTGTATTGTGTCAAGTGGAGAGGTGCTAA